AATTATCATACAGACCACATTGGTCTGAATTTTATTACAGAAGATTGCTTTTCTTTTTTCTTACTAGTTCCGAAATCGAAATTAGGGTTTTTTCTTGAGTTGAGGAGGAGGAAGAGAACAAGAAGATCTGAAAGCTTCGACATGAGACTTACACTTGGATTGATCTCCTTTGTTTTCTTCCAAACATTTCTTCAACGCTTCTACGTCGCACGATGAAGCTATCTTCTTCACCGGAACATTTTCTGGTTTCTTCTTCTCTTCTTCCATCGTCGTCGTCCCTTTTTTTTGAAGACTCGTGATTTTTTGGCTGCCGGAGAACGAAGACGACTTTACTACTTTGTGTTTCCCTGAACGACGACGTTTTGTCAACGAGTGTGTGGGGCCCATTTGACTTGTATAATATGTTTTCCTCAAACGACAGAGTTTTCATTCTTTACTGGTGCCGTTTTGAGGCAACCTTCTTGATCTTGTTGTACTAATAAGTTGGATATGTAGAATGATAACAAGATTACTAATCATAGACATTGAAATTGTTCTATAATTTTATACAATGCATGTTTATTTAGAACCAAACTAGAAGAACTTAATAACCCAAATACTATTTGTTTGATCATCAATATTACAAAAGACGGATAACAAACATAATGTAATTTATATTAGAGGAATTCTCTTTGTATTATATTAAAACCATTATCATATTTTTTTTTCTTTAGCATTCATATTTTAAAACAATTATGATGAATTTGTGAGTGCAAGTTTTTTTTATATTTGCTCTTCCTTTCGAAATTGGCAAGAAAATAACATATTTTATTCGATATCTAGTCAAATATAATTTTTCTTCGTCCATAACATTACATGAACAAAAAAGGCAAGAAAGTTTCGAAAATATTTGTCTCCTCATAAAAGAGTGAGTGAAAATAAGATAGTAATATTTGAAAGTCATGAATTTTGCAATAAGTATATAATCAGTAAGATTTATATATGGTGACAAATAGAATATAAATTTTATTCATCTCCAAGTCATTAAAAAACCATTTGTGTTAACCGGATTCTAGGTCATAATAAGCTTTGACCCACTCTGCCTTCGACATTACATATTTGAGATGTTGAGAGTAATTACTCTCATCAAAACCTTAAGGATCTTCTTATCATGGCTTGTTAATCAGCAACGAAACACAAATTGTCGAACAATATTATGAAAGTTTTTTGCAACGAAAAAAGGAGGACTAAATTCAAATCTTTTGTTCACCGTTCTTCTTGCCTTAAGGTACCGGATATTCATTGTGTTGGTAACGTTGCACCAAACTAAATTCAAATCTTTCTTGGGACACTGGTACCTATCTTCATAACTCATGAACAAATATTAGACTGATCACATGGAGCCTATAATTTCCAAAAGAAAACTTA